AGGTGTTTTGCTTCCAACTTTGTTTCCACCGTTTTTTTCCGAAATTCTTTATTGTAAAAAACTGGTTATACATTTATGATTCAAAGTATTGTCCATCGCTGGCCGCTACTTTCTCCCATCTTTCGGGTAGCGTCCGAATCCCGTGTCGAAAAAACTGGTCATCTTTTGAGGCTATCTACGAATCGATCCAATTTTTTACTTCTTCATAAGACCGGAAGTGCTGGTCAGCCAGGCCGTGTGCCATTGATCGAAACAAGTGATAGTCAGAGGGAGCAACGTCTGGAGAATACGGCGGGTGGGGTAGGACTTCCCATTTCAACGTTTCCAAGTATGTCTTGACCACTTTCGCAACATGGGGTCGAGCATTGTCATGCTGCAAAATCACTTTATCGTGTCTCTCGTTGTATTACGGCCGTTTGTCTTTCTATGCTCGGCTCAAACGTATCAATTGCGTTTGATACCGATCGCCTGGGATTGTTTCAGTCGATTTTAACAGTTCATACCGCACTACGCCGAGCTAGTCCCACCAAATACATAGAGCATGACCTTGGATGTCAAAATTACCGTTTCTTTTCTTTTTAATTCTTAAAGCGTTGAAACCATTCATAACACGTTCTTTCACTAATAGCGGCCTCACCATAAATATTTGAGAGCATTCGATGAGCCTCAGCCGCAGATTTCTTCATATTGAAGCAAAAAATTAAAACCTCCCGCAAATGACGAGAATTTGATTCGTAAACTGACATTTTCAATCGAGAATAACTTTATGATGCAGACACAAATCGACTAATGTTTCTATGGGGTTATATTGACAGATGCCCAAGTTTATTGTATGATGATCTATTTATTTCGACCACTACTTACCGCTAAAGCCATCTATAAGAAAACGGCGGAAGCAAAGTTGTACACCTAATACTTCGAGTCACCATCTATCAATCAGAAGTAATAAGTCCCGCTTCGGAAAATGGCTCGTAGTGCATTACAGTCGATACCACTTTAAATTTTAATCCTAAATAAACTTGAAAGTGTCGCAGTGCAAAAACAATTGCCATCGTTTCTAGTTCGTATGAATGATAGCAGTATGAATGGTCTGCCGTCATTTGCCTACTGTAATAAGCTACATATGCGTCTAACCCTCGTTTGTCTATTAACGCGATGCCTATACCTATTGCGCTCGCGTCGGTGTGTCTTCAATCTATTTATTCGAATCGAATATTGTTAGTATCGGTCGGAATGTAAGCTTATTTTTAGTACACAAATACAACAGTATTTAGAGCCATCTTTTGAACCTCTTCCAACATTCAAGGAACCTTGTTTTATCAGTCTTGTCAGTGGCTCAATGATTATGGCGAAATTTTCGATATACCTCCTAAAGTAACTAGCTAAAAATTACTACAAATTACTACAAATTAGCTTGTTTCACCAAACGTGGCGATTCCATCTACAACATCGCCTCGACTTTGCGCTACCCGGGTCGCACTCCTCGCTCATCTATCTCTCTACCTAAGTATTCGATTGACTTCACAAAGAACGTGCACTTATTCAAATTGAGTGTTAATCCATGTATGCGAAACGCTTCTAATACTTAGCTCGCAAGCGAGCTAAACCTTTCTCTATAGTTTTCGATGGTATTATATTAATATCGTCCAGGTATGGAAATGTGATTGTATTTTTTAAGCTTCCTAACACTTTATCCATCAAACGTTGGAACACGGCGGGTGCATTAATCAAAACAAAAGACATAAAACTCGTAATATCCCTTTAGTATCATGAAGGCTTCTTCTCTATAAATCTTCTGCCACCAGTACCTGATAATAGCCGGAAAATCTAATCCGGTTGAAATACCGGTTACCTCCGCGCTTATCAATCTGTTTCTCAATCTGAGACATAAGGTACTTATCCTTAACCGTAATCAAATTTTACAGACTCTAAATCTTAAAGTTAAAATAAACAATACAAGGCCTATACAAGGCCAATAAGAGGCTTCACAGGCTGGTGAAGATGCCACTGATTAAAATCTATATCATTAATAGATTGTGTAGAATTTTCTTTATTTTGAACGTTCGAAACAATTTTAGATTTTTAAAATCAGCGAACATCCTGAGGATTAGAAATTTGGTAATATTGAAAAAATTTTTATCCTCATCGGTACTCAATAATTCTATCACAAAAAGAATCTCCTTTTTGGTCAATTACTCTGTTAAATTCATAAAAAACAATCCTAAGATAATTTTTACAGAAGACAGACAAAGGGAATATAACAGTAGTGTTGGACAGGAATAGTTATATAGAAAAAATCACATAAATATTAAGTGATCCAAATACGTATACAAAATTAGTCAAAAATCCTCTTAATAAATTATCAAGAAATATTCAGGAATTATTAAAAAAAAAAAATGGAAAAAAAAAATTACATCTCAGAATCAACTTACAAAAAATTGGCGACTAGTGATAGGATTTTATCAAGAGCATACGCATTACTGAAGATACATAAAGAGGGGATACCGCTTAGAATTATAATCTCATCATTGGATAGCTTTATATTTCTTGGCTTCATTCTTAATGAAATCTCTGAAATCTCAAAAAATGTTGATAGACTTTCAAAATAGACAATAGTTTCCAACTTGTGGAAAAATTAAGAGGCACTCAAGTTGGAGCGAATTTCTCTCTACTATCATTGGATGTGGTTTCATTATTCACAAATGTTTCGATTAAATTGGCGGTCAAAAGTATAGAGAAAAGATGGGATCAAAATTGAGAAGATGATTAGCATATCGAAAAATGAGTTCATTGAGGCCGTATCTTTTGTTTTGGATTCTACATTTTTTTGTTTTAATAATGAATATTATCAACAAAATTTGGTATTCTCTGGGTCACCTCTTTTTCCAATTATTGCGGATCTTGTTTTGCAGGATTTGGAGAAGTACTAGATATTTTAGGAATATTTTAGAAATCATTTTATATTAGATATGTGGACGATATTGTAATGCAGCTTCAATTGATTCAATAGAACACATTTTGACTGTTTTTAACTCGTTTCACACTAGATTACAGTTTACATTGGAAAATGGGGAGAACATGATTAATTTTTTGGATGTGACTATTATTAAGAATAAAGATTACTTAGAATTTGACTGGTATCACAAACCTACTTTTTCAGGATGTTACCTGAATTTTTTATCTGCACGTCCTACATCACAGAAAAAAGGAGTATTTTAATGATTGATAAAGTTATTTTATTATCTAAATCAAAATTTTATCAAAAAAAACATTAGATTAGTAATCAACATTATCAGGAAATATAAGGAATGATTACCCAATGGAGATCATTTTTGACACCATTTCCACAAGATTAAAATTTTTATCTTCTAAACGTGTTCTTGTTGAACAAGATTGCATGTCCAATAACGACAATTCAGAAAATATAAAAAGAATTCTTTGGTTTTTAATTCTTTACACAAATACTACGTCAGATTTTTAAATACTTGTAAAAAAGAACACATGAAATTTATTTTACAGTAATAACAAACTCAGTAGATTCATTAAGGCCCAGAAGGATATCCTCCCAAAGAATCAGAATAAAAATGTAATATACAAATTAACATACAAAGATTGTGACGCGTCTTACGTAGGACAAGTGGTAGAAAATTGAACTCTAGAATTACTAAACACCATAATTACATCAATTGGAATATCACAATCGATTATTACGAATTAACATTACAGAGTTGAATTGAATCATAAATTTTATTGGGAGAATGTTCAAATTCTAGATCATGAGAGATCTTTATATATAAATAAACGTCTAATCTCTGAAAAAGCGTGCAAAAAATGAATTGAATTTACGATCTGACACCGAAGGATTACATCACGCATATACGATGCTAAATGAATTGACCAATTAAATCACTTCGTAAAGAATTTAATGTATTTTTCATGTCTTGTATACACATAATTTATGACTTTACATTTATATTTAGAATATTGTAACGTTAATTACGACTTAATTGTTTTGTTTTGCGGTCCTTTTTCAATTAAAAACTGTCTGTTAAACGCTTTTGACTATCTGGAGAGGAAGGTTATAAATAGTGATTATGTATAAAACTGGTTCAATAATTTATTAGTATAAATCTCCAGTTTAAATAAAGCTTCATGGAATTTTTGAATTTCCCGTTTGAGATGAGTTGTTTGGATTTGATTTTTCTTATTGACTCAATTTTAATTTTATGTATGTCAAATCAGGATTCACTTTAGTTAGGAACCTGTTAGTGACTCACATGTAACGAAAGGTTCAATTTAAGATTTGAGATATGTATTACTGAAGAGGACTTCAAAGAGAGCCGAAACGTTCAAAATAAAGAAGATTCCACACAATCGATTAATGGTATAAATTTTAATCGTTGGCACCTTCACCTGTGACTCTTATTGATCTTGTATAGATTGTTTATTTTTAATCTTAACCATAATGACATTCAATTTATATAGTCTATATAGTCATCGTTTTTCTTTCTTACAACAAGATCGGACTCGTGTATGTGGTAACTTCGACTCGCGGATAATATTGTTATCTAACAATTCTTGGACCATTTTCTTTACAACACGCTTTTCAGATTCGGCTGGGACAACTGATGCCTCGGTAGCGCAACGAATACTCGATGACAATGAATTAGGATTCGTATATGCTGTGCGGCCCATACTCTCCTCGCGACATCCGTGATTCCACCAATCACCGCGTCAACAAGATATTTGTCCGCAATACTAATATCTAACTTGCGTAACTTGTTTAATTTTTGGAGGCAGTAATCTCCTAATGATTGTCCAAGACTGCTTTCATACAGCGCGGCTCTCGAAATAACCTACTAAAAGATATCTTCTTGTGGAACTGTTGTCGCAACAGATTTTGTCTCGATCTATGTAATCGCCAATCGCTGTCGTATCACAGCCGCGCATATCCCTTCAAGCGCAATGGTATCAATCTCATGATGGCTTTATCGTCCCAATCGTATTGTGCAGCTAATTCATCTTGATCACTTCTCTAAGTCATCTTTCGACGGAGATATCATAAGTTCGTCATCTTTGTGCATGAATCCCGTGTATGAGATTGTCTATCTAGGCTATCCACGATGCATTCTAACCTATCGAAACATTCGTCTCCTGATGTCGACTGAGATGAACGCCGTCTTTTCCGTTTCGGATCGTCACACTCGGCATAACGCCTTGACTTATGGCGTCCCATTCCATCGTTCTTCTTCTCATCGTAATATCAAGGCCCGAGGTTCACTACTTCTGATATGTGAAAAAATACGAAAAGAAAAGAACTCGTAACGTATTAATTTTTCTTTATTTTGTTTAATAAATTCTGATATACGCTCGCTCTTCGATCGCGTTTAATACGTCATTTTACGACATCACTCTCGTTGCTGACGCGTTTTCCCCACACATCGCAGTTCTGCGCGATGACGCGTATCGCTCGTTGCTGCAGAGCCCATTTTCATGAGTTCGATTCCGGTTACCCTCTACATTCTTCACAATTCCGAATACCTTAAAAGATTTATAAAAAGAGGAAAAGATGATTAGACCCAAAGATACACCACAATGTGATTTATAAGATAACTTGTTATTATTGTGATACATCTTACACTAGCCAAACTAAAAGACAGTTTGGTACTAGAGCAAAAGAATACATCGAGTCGAAACATTCATAATTTGAAGAATATAGTTTTTCGCAATAAATTTTTTTTTTCTTTCTTACTTTCTAATTTAATTTAGGAAGGATTATTAGCGTTTCAGAATGATTGTGTTGAAACCGAATGTTATTGACTCGCAATTATATCTGGAATAAATTGATTTAATAAAAAGAATATATAATGTATTTGTAACATTTAAAATTTGACCCATCTTGGCTTTCTTTATCGTATTTGATGTATTCACATATACGGTCGTGTTTCGTGTTTAAAATTCTTAATATATTTTAGTGTTAAATGTATAACACGACAATCCTGTTTGGCTCATAATCCTTTTGAATTATTTCGTTTTTAAATTTTTGAGCCTATAATATATCTATTAATTTCTTAATTTTTTTAGTAAAATTGCATTAATACTTTCATTTTCATCACACGAATCTAATACTTCCAGGTAAACAATGTAGGACGCCATCTTGCACTAAAATGTTTTTTATTCCTTGCCTATACGCTTACACTCGTCAGTTCTGAATTGCACTAGTTCAGTTCAGTTCTAGTGCAATCCTCGTGCAAGAACGAACCTACAGTTTATCGAATAAAGTTCTGTAAGAAATTTAGATTATTATACTAGCTAGATAGTCGTTAATATGATAGATCAGAGCGTCATGCGCAACCGCGATTTGCCAAACATGCGATGACGCAGGCAAATGAAAGAGAGATGAAGCAGTTCGAAGTAAAGTCATTAGATTTATAAAGTACCGCAACCGTCCGCCATATTAAGTCCAATATAGTGACAATTTCAAATAATGTATTAGGATGAATTTATTGTGTAAATGACGGAAAGCATTGAAGTTAATCAGTTGTATTTATTTATAACGATAAACATTGCTCATAAATATAATTGATTAATATTTCAATGCTTTCCGTCATTCACACAAAAATTCATCTCAATACAGTTTGAAATTGCCACTATATTGGACTCAATATGGCAGACGGTTGCGGTACTTCATAAATCTAATGACATTGATTGCGTTAGCAGAAAAAGCAGCTTTGTAATTATTATAAAATTAATACGATAATATAACTAAATAACGCTCGAAGTTTGTATAGCAAAATAATTCAAATATCAACGATCAAATATATGAGTAATACAAGATGTTTTATTAAAATCTTAAAATTAATTTAACACATCATTAAAAAGAATATAACAGATATATATATAATAGATTATTAGAGAATAATACGTTTCAACTTATAGAGTCTTCCTCAATATAATAAAATAAAAATCGAGAATAATTTTTGTACTAAAAAATGACATTTATAGGATATGATTAAAAAACATCTTCAAAATGTCTATTAGACAATTTTAAAGACGTTTTAAAAAGGATGTTTTTAAAACTTGCCTAAAAGTCGTTTAAAAAACACCTTTAAATCTTAAAGATATCTCTTTCGGATTGTCTTTTAGACATACGTGTTTACTGGACTTATACAGAGTGTTTTCAAAAAAACCGTTCATCATTTATATAGTAGACAGTACACATTATACTAAATAAAAAAAAAATCTTGGTGAACATATAGATCGAAAATAATCATTTTTGAGATATAAAAATATTTTTGTATGTTAGCGTCTATTTAAGTGTTCCATGTGTCTTCCTTCCATTTCCATGTACATGCTCAGCATCTTCTTTTTATAGAGTCGTGAACTCTCTTGAAAGTTCTCTGTAGAATTATTGGACAAATACGCTGCGTTTAGTCACGTAATTCTTCTATGTCATTTATTAGCGAAAAATATACTCTGCTTTTTAAATATCTCCATAAAAAATGTCCAAGGGTTTTAAAACAAGAGATCGAAAGGGCCATGCAACATACAATATCCAATCCACTTTTGATTGAACAGTAGTTACGAGTAATCGTTGTGAACATTCTATTTTTGCTTGATGATTTGGTGGAGTGAGTATTTGCACTCGTTATATATGGTATGATTAGACTGCTCATAAAGCGGTCTCCAGACAATATCTTAGTATCGATTCCTACCATGATGTAAGAATACAAGTTGTAGCCACAGTATATACAGCCTTCTGGCACCTTTGATGTTTGGCTAAAATGGAGTGTACATGCGCGAAATAAGTAAGTTCTCTAGTAACGCCATTTGAATTTTTTTCTCAGTTGCTCTTTATTTTTCTGCTCTCTCTCTCTCTCCCCTCTCTCCCTCTCCTCTTCTTTCTCCCTCCCTTCCTCTCCCCTATCTCTCTTCCTCTCTCTCCCCATCCCCCCTCTCTCTAAGTCGTTTGTACATCAAATTATATATAATCTAAATGTAATAAAACTAAAAGAAATAGATTCATAATTGTAATGCAAAACAAAAAAAAATACAAAAATAAAAAAAATATAAAATAATATAAATGTTGTATGATAAATATTATATTGTAAAAATATTTTAATTAACGATTGCGACACGCGATGCTTGTTTTCCTGCTAGAGATCGCTTACGTTTTAGTAAATTATTAGAATTGCACCACATAGAACGCAGATTTTTTAGCTAAAACGAAAGCAATTCAGCAATTATACATATCATTCACAGTATTTAAGCGAGATTGATGAAATTGATGTGTTTGCAGGTATATGTGCGCGCGCGTGCGCGTGAATGTATGATTTCAGTTAATGGTTGTCTCTCATTGCATTGTTGTCTTTTCTAGTTCTGTTGCTGGGCTTATAACAGCAATTTTGCTGATGCCTAACCATTTGCAAGCTAATGACTATTGTATTGTATTTTATTTTATGTTATGCCTACTATAGTTCAGTGTATCATATTTTATGTCTATTATACTCTGTTAACATGTAGTCTTTGTCATAGAGCTTCGCAATAAACTAAAAATTAAACTAATTAAACTAAACTAATCATGATTTTCTTTTCTTTTATCTCTTTCTCTAATCATTTCAATTACTTGAACATTTGAATGATCCTGAAAGAGAGAACGAAAAAAGAAAAAAGTGAGAAGTATAGATAACGTTACTGAACAACTTACTTATTTCAGGCATCCATTTGCGCACTCCATTTTGGCCAACATAAAAGCAGGAGAGTTGTGTTACTGTATATATTGTGTAACATGTTATGTTGTGTAACATGGTATGTTGTGTAACATTGTCCATAATGGCAATAGTAACTATTTTATATTGGAAACCAATCAAATTTTGCTCAATATGCGCTTTCCTGTGTATAGCGCTGACATACTGGAAGTGCTAAAAATTTGCCCAAAATTCACTTTTTTACTACGCATCCACGGGAACGTTTCATTTGCATTTTTACATCATGATTTCTACGGTATTAGAGATATCCTTCTTATACTAGTTCCGGGATTTTCTTCTATTATCCTTAAAATGCAATTCTTCGTATTCGACGTCGATACAGATCTATCTTAAGCCCATCAAATCATTTCAATGGTGAGTTCTAGATGAATCTGATTCACAAAGTTGATGAAGATTTTAAAACAGTGTACAAGGAACTCTTCGGTTAGGAAATTTTTCGGCGTAAAAACATCATGCAATAGAGGCATTTCCATTAGCACGACCATTAAAAAATGCATATCTGCTATTTCTTGATTAATACGCTGAGAGTAATACGCTGATATTTTCAGCACGATCTGTGTAATCATCAAATAAAATCCGCAATCACTTTTGATTGGTTGATGACACTTGATTGATTGTCGGTAATTATCTTCTGTTATGAAGTAATGGAAATGGAAATTGAATGAGGACATATAGAACGCGGTTTATACATATTGAGATAAACATCGCATATGACACATAAAAGCCAAAATCATTTATGTATATTTAAAATCATATATTTACATACAAAATTATTTATATCACAGAAACGGTTGAGTTTTGTCCTATATTTACAAAGGTTTTTTTTTTACTCAATATAATGTGTATGCTATCTACCATATAAATGCTGAATTTGATTTTTTGAAAATAGCCTGTATATACATATATATTCTATATGTACAAAAATGATATGATGAAGATATAAATTATCATGCTATTTTATACAGGAAATGAGGTAGTAATAGTAAAAAATGGTCTAAGAATATGCGGAAGTGGTGGTGCCTTAACGAATGCCCCTCTTCTTCAGAGTAAAAGTTATTTTGAAGTAAAGATACAGCAGGGTGGTATATGGGGCATTGGATTAGCTAGAAGAGACACGGATCTTAATGTCGCTATAGGAGGCAAAGACTCAGAAAGTTGGGCGCTTGATTCTGATGGTATCATAAGGCATAATGAACAAGAACTTCATAAGATTCAAAATCCTGTTCAGGAAGGAGATGTCATCGTACGTATATACTGCTATTTAGTTTGATATATTTTGAAGAAATTAAACTTAATTAAACTTAAAAAATCGAAGAAATGCTTCTGATTTTTTAAAAGATTGTTATTATTGTATAATCAATATCTTGTTTGAATAAAAACTTTTTTTCAGGGAGTATCCTACGATCATGTAGAATTGAATTTTTATTTAAATGGAGAATCCATGAATGCTCCAGTTACAGGTGTAAAAGGACGGATTTATCCAGTGTTATATGGTATTTATTTATTCTAACAACTCACAATAAACGAGAATTGATTAAAATGGATTGAAATTTTAATTATCATTTGAATTCACCTATACTTATATACCAATACTTCAGTATAACATCCATGATCTTTATTCTTTTAGATGCAATTGGATAGAAAAACTTCTTTTAGAGATTTAATTGGATTGAAAAATCGCATTTCCTATTCAGAATTTTGAACTGAGAAGTTTTCGATGCACTTAAAGAATTGAATTTTTTTTTAGGTTGAAAGGACATAGAAATGTGCAATTCCTATAAATGAACAAAAATGCATGAGATTGAAAAGGATTCATTTCAAATTTGCGAATGTGTACTTCTGAAAATCTGAATCCATTTCAATCCATTTTCGTTTATTGGAAATTAACATGTGTGACGATTGATATATTTTTATATATAATTTATATTATTTTAACTTTCAGTGGATGATGGAGCCATTCTGGACTTATTTCTAGAAAATTTTAATTATACTCCACCAATGGGCTTCGAGAAAATAATGCTGGAACAATCATTGCTCTAGCAGGGATAGGAACAAAAATAACATGTTAAAACTGACATTCCTCGTTCGAATTTCGTTAAATTTATAACATTAAGAGTTAAAATTAAACGTTAAATAATTAAACTAAGATAAATTGTAAACAGGGAATTCCAAGTATAGTATAAAAACATAACATGGTATTAAAAAACAATGTAATAAACACAATTGCATGATAATATATTTTATTGAAGAGCTTGGAATAAACGATTTGCCTAAAGATGTGAGAATCTATTTTTTGATGTATTCTCTACGGAACGAAGATGCATTAGATTTTATATAACTAATTGAGAGAAAGTTCTTGAGATTTATTAAAACTAAAAAGAGATTTACAACGTTAAATGTTCGAATGAGTCAATTTAGTTCTATTTCAATCCGATGTTTATGTTATGATAATTACACATATCTTTGTATAATTGTATAATAATAGATATAATCATAAATATGTGTGTACAATTTGAGTATTATATAATATATATATGCATATATATGCATTTGTATACATAATGATTCATTAAATCTTAAACGACTAATGGTATAGTATGTACATACTTGGCTTATATAAGGTACCGACGGTTTTAGGCCTATTGTTCGCTTTATTAGGCTTAGTGTCATGACATCTTGTTAATTCTCCCCTCCCCCCCCGCGCGCGCACACACACACACACACACACACACACACACACACATTCGCGCGCGCGCGCATTTCTCTCTCTTTCTCCCTCCATAGTTATTTTCCTTTTTTCTAATATTGTATTAAATAGTAAAGCTAATTAAACAAGAAAAATCTTATATTTGGTCAAAGCGAATCTTGGTATTTAAATATTTTTAAGTAGAATTCATATACGTGTCTAATTCTGTCAATCTGCGATCGAAATCTTTTTCGGTCTTGAAACGCAATCGTAAGCAGAACCAAAATAGTAATGTCACTTATTAAATTGATAAGTAATTTAATAATTTTTAATGTATTTTTATGTTTTTATATATAATAAGCAATTTTATAAGAGTATTCATAATCTAGATTAACGAAAATCGTAAGTCTGTGAAAAATATTACCTCAACTAAGATTTGAATCTGGAAAAAGATTTCGGTTTGCAATTTGGAGAATTAGATACGTACAAAATTTAATTATGTAAAAAATTTACGCAAAAAATTGAAGCATTAAAATCCATTTTGATCAAATCTAGGATATTTTTTGATTAATTAGATTTATTTTCATGAGCTCAAATTCATATCATAATTAAAGCTAATGTTTCAACCTTAACATATCGAAAACTTGCATTTTTGTTTACATCATCATACAAATGTTAGAACAATTCAATTATTGTAAACAAATACATTTTTCAAATTCATACTGAGATCATGCATATATATTCGACTTATAAAATTTTTTATCATATTTCAAAATAAACTGCACACTACCGCATATAATATAATTAAATACATATTCTCAATCGTTTCCTTTATCTGATATAAAAATCGATCACAGTAAGATAAGCGCCTTTAATTATAATACAAATAATAACTTAAAAAAACATTGAAGTAACTGCTGGCGCTTATCATTGACATTATGAACTTTTCATCTAACGACGTGTCTAAAGTTTCTTACAACTGTTTGTGTTACAAGCTTTCTCAATACTTGCTGAAACATATCAAATCTTTGGTCCTTAATATTAGTTCTATATAAACAATATCAATAGTGTCACACGCTTAACATTACGCATTTATATTATATAAATAGGTCATTCGATTGAAACGATATAATTTTTAAATTACCTGATATTATTTGCAATAACAAAGTCTTATTAAATGTAACATAACCGTCTATCTTTAGCGATTAATATTTAAATATAAGAATTTCATGGCACTCTTTTTCCTACATAACTTACTCTCTAAATACATATGATTTGTATTCATTCGAAAGACCTTTATTATATCTTCTAGAGAGTTTTTGTAATCTATTAAGTAATTATTAGCAATTCTAAACTATTACAACTTTTATATTTATTTTATGACTGGATGATATGAAATATTTATAATGGTAACCCATCGCAGTCGCTTTATTGCACTTTCATTGCATCTGAAATTTCAATACTAATCCTGTTAAAGTAGCATGATTAATTTTAATATCCTTATATACTATCGTTTAATTAAACTATATAGGCCTGTGATAAAATAATTTAAATAATTTTATGAAATATATAAAGGAAACTTTCGATATTATAATTACGGTGTAATTATCTGAATATTGACTCTGCTTACAAAATAATGTTATAAATAATGAACAGTGTAGTTTTCAACATTGTACAAATTAATTGAATATAGGACCGTTAATGATCACTCACGAGCAATATGCAAAGCAACGATGAAAAATGGATATCATTTTCTTCCATTTTCAGATATTTCCATCGGAAACATACATCGGTTAACATATGGCTTACCATATTTGTTTCATCACTTGAACAATACAAAACACTTCCATAAATGTAAATTTGTTTCAATTACACTGCAAATAATTCCTTTAAAAAATATATACTTTCAGATATATTTACAAAAGTGTATAATTCGATATCTACATATCTGTTAATTATAAAAAAAATGTGCTTATACAAAGAATTGTATAAGCATAAATATATACATAAAATATATCAAATGTTGAAAAATTATTATTGCTCGTGTTTTTTCTAAATAATAGTATATTAATGACAATTTGAGATCTTGCGATCATTCTTTTTATCTTTTAAGTAAAGCTTGATTTTTAATAACATAGCTAGAATATTTGCTTTAATTAGCAGTATTTGTTATATATATTTATATTTGGATATATGCATTATAAATAAAATTTAACACATCAAAAATCATTATTATAATTATTCAATGTTTTTATATATTAAAAAGTATGATTCTCTTCATTTGTGTATTTTTTAAGAATGAAAAATCTGTTATTTATATTTAATATTATTTTATTTATAAAATTAAAATGAAGCTCATATATTTTAAAATAGGATTTCAAATAAGTCAAGTAATCGAGCAAAAAAAAAGGTGAACTAAATAATATTTTATTCGTAAATTTCAAATATGTAACGAACGGAACATTTCAACTTTGTCTTGATTCCTCATCTGTACGTGATCGCATTATAATTTAAGATGAATTTAAAAGAAAAAATTATAAATAAAATAAAGATAAAAAAATAAAAACAACAAAAGTTGAACAATTGAACAAGCAAAATCATATCAATGATCAGACAACATGAATAACAATGTATATTAAGAAATTAAGAGATATGGAAATAATAAAAACGCTTTCCTTATTACTGATCGAATCGCAAGCTAATGATATTCAATAATAAGATATGATATCCATAACACCTCTTCGTTAAAAGGCGAGAAAGAGTTGAGTCCACACAGCAAAGTAAAAAGTTAAGTACGTAAAAGTCAAGAAATATAATGTACAGATTTTCCATTTTGTTTAATAAACAAAATGAAAATGATATAAATTATGAACAATAGAAGGGTAATATCAAGTCATTTATTAAAAAAGAAAGAATTTATATGGTAAATGAGTGTGAGAAATATTGAATATTGTGAGAAACTTACACAAGTTAGATGTCTGTATCATGAAGTTCTTCTTTAAGTAAGTGTACAGCAGATCAAAAGTAACATATCTTAAAAATTTGATCTAAAAAAAAAATCATTGATTAAAAATTGATATTTATTCACAGGGAAGATAATCATCATTAAATTTTAAAGAAATTATTCGAAAAATATATTTTTATAAAATATCAATTTTGATGTATTTTGATTACGAATAACATTATCGATATCGAAAATTGTTTTTGATTACGAATAATCATGGATGACGAATATTGTTTTTAAAAAATAATAACCATTATCAACTAGAATATTATATTATGAATAACCATTACCGATGATAGTATTCACAGTCTATAGAACTCATAAATATATTTGAATAGTCATATGAATATTATTAAGCATTAAGACTCACTTTGACAATGATATTTTTCTTTTATTTGTGTTTGAACATTTCTCGGTCAATTTTCACTTAAATTATTGATTAAATTTTAGTAATCATAGATTACTAAATTTAAGCAATCATAGATTGTTATGATGGATTTTAACTGATGTTATTCTTATGTTTCTTTATTCTAATTTATAGTTCTAATTTGTTTTATATATCTGCTCCACATATAAAGCATCGCAGTTTCTGCAACTAATTTCATAAATTATATTGTTCGAAAGGAATTCAGTTTTATTCTTATATATTTTGACTAAATGAATGAATTTATTTATCTAAATCCAACATTAAATTTCGATCTATTTACACACTTACAATTGTAATTTTAATATTTCAATATTTCAAGAAAGTATCATATTTTTTTAATACATCCCCGCCTCAATTAGTCCCATTATTAAACACAATTCACAATCCATCACTAAATATCTTTTTGATTCTCAAATTAACTCCTGTAAACATTAGATTAGAAAGTAAGAATTGTCATTAACAATTGTAAGTATTTTTATACAGCGTTCTTTTATTGAAAATTAGGCTAAAACAATAATCCACGAGATTATATATTTTTATTTTATGATATAGATAGTTGGAAAGAAAAGAATAGAAAATGTCCTTTTAGGATCAAGAAAGATCTCCTCCGTTTTTTATATTCAGCAAAACCACGAAAGTTTATATTTTAATTTTCCTCATATTCAAAGGTAAACTATAAATACTAATGAAAACTATTGAAAGTATTTAAGATATTTGCAATGTGATGTTTGAGCACTGCTAAAATTATATTATTTATTTCAATTATGTCGATATCTATAATAGAAAAGTAAGTATCTATAATAAAAAATAAGTCAGGTGTGTTTAAAACTTTTTTTTCCAAAGCTTGTAAAACAACGTCGACCACAATAAAAGACAGAGGTAACCACAGACGTACCAAATGTATGATATTATTGAAAGTAAAAAATAAATGGAATTTAATACAAACTTAATAGTTGCGATAAAATCCTCATACGGAATGGAGTATTTTTCTTATAAGTTGATAGAAAAAGGATATCGAAAATAATTTCATATAAAAACATGGTTAAAGGATACAGAAAAATGTTAATGAATGACACTGAAAAGAATTCTAAAAAGAAAATTGATTTTATGTAAAATTAAAATTATAAGAAAACAGCTCAAATGATTAAAATTCAATACATATAAGGAATTATGAGTCATATAATATATTTATTATATTAGGTGTACAACTTTGCTTCCGCCGTTTTTTCCGAAATTCCAGGCTTTATTGTAAAAAACTGGTTATATATTTATGATTCAAAGTATTGTCCATCGCTGGCCACTACTTTCTCCCATCTTTCGGGTAGCGTACGAATCCCGCGTCGAAAAAATTGGTCATCTTTTGAGGCTATCCACGAATCGATCCAATTTTTTACTTCTTCATAAGACCGGAAGTGCTGGTTAGCCAGGCCGTGTGCCATTGATCGAAACAAGTGATAGTCAGAGAGCAACGTCTGGAGAATACGGCGGGTGGGGTAGGACTTCCCATTTCAATGTTTCCAAATATGTCTTGACCACTTTCGCAACATGGGGTCGAGCATTGTCATGTTGCAAAATCACTTTATCGTGTCTCTCATTGTATTGCGGCCGTTTGTCTTTCAATGCTCGGCTCAAACGCA